TCAAATCAAAACCAGCTAAAATCAGAATAATAATTTCAGTTTCATGAGTATTTGAGCAGAGCAAAGATATCAAGGGGAGACTGTCACAATAGAAATGACTGATGACATTGTAGCCACAGAATGATGAATTAAATAACTTTACAGTGACTAGAAGAGACACAAATGTGCTATAGAGATAGGGGACTGCCACCAGCACCCAACAGACCCTTTGTGACATGATGACTGTGTAGAGCAGAGGGTTACAAATGGCCACATAGCGGTCATAGGACATTGCCGACAGAATAAAAATTTCAGTAACAATAAAAACAAGAAAAAAGGCTAATTGTACAGCACAAGAATAATAAGAGATAGTATTTTGATCCACAACAAAATTTACCAACATTTTGGGTCCCACTGTTGTTGAATAACCTAGATCAGTAAGAGCAAGGTGTCTGAGGAAGAAGTACATGGGTGTCTGCAGCCTGGAGTCCACCTTGGTGAGGATGACCATGCCCAAGTTGCCCACCACTGAGATCACGTAGATGACAAGGAAGAGCCCAAATAACGGAGCCTGCAGCTCAGGAAGGTCTGTGATGCCTGTGAGAATGAATTCGCTCACCACAGTTCCATTGTGTGTTTCCATTCAGGTTTTTCAGGAAACCTATTTGGAACAGAGACATCAGCATAGTCAACAGGTTTCATGTATTATCACTTGGGAGATTTTTTGTGTGCAAAGCTAGTATAATAAATAAGATAACATTTAAACTTTCCTATTTAGGATATTTGAAAATCAGCCCATCTCTTACATATCTTAATATGCATGAATACATATAGAAACAGAGACAGTCACTGGTTTTCAAATAAAAGTTATCTTACTAACCTAAGAACACTTGTTAATGTCCAGAAGATTTGTTGGTTTTCACAGCTGGGAGGTGGGTGCTATTGGCATATAATGGTTAGAGGTCAGTTATGCTTCTAAACATTCATTCTATAATGACCTATATCAGTCCCAAATCTCAATAGTGCCAAGGTTGAAAAGCCAAGCTGATATAGATAGATAGATGATAGATAGCTAAAGAGATACATACAGAGATACACAGACAGGTGTAGACACATAAGATACATAGATACATGTAAAGAAAAAAGTTAAAATGTAAAAATTTGAAGGTTACATATGTTGACTATTATTGTGTTGTTCTTTTGGGTTTTCTGTTAGTCATTTACATAATTGCAATCACATAGTGACATGTATAAATTACATTTAATAATATGACTCAATGCATGTGCCAGTTATAAAATCAACTATATTATACAATTAAACAAAAATTCTAATGGAAATGTACAGCCAGAAACTCCAAAAAGTATTGAATCCACTACACAACACATAATTCTATAAAATCCTATATATGAGTGATACAGGCTGAAACAATTAAGACACTTGCACATATTAGACAGGTGTATAAATAAGAAAATCATAACAGATTTCAGTGAGAATTGTCTTTATGTGTAGAAACATGAAGCACACACACACACGCACATATATATAAAATCTCTGTTGTAACTCCTTAGTATATACAAAGGGTTACCAGATTACTTTTGGCAAATGATTTAATTTATATGAAATTTTATTGTCATATACAAAATCAATACATCCTTACATGATGGTTGGGTACAAAATAAAAAGATTAAATAAGTTAATGTGTCTATACTATCTGAAAGTTAAGTACATAGGAGTTTTTATTTTTATTCTTTTTAATAGTGACAGTAATTAAACTCACAGAGCATTTGTTTACATATTTGTGGGTAAATTCTTCTGCACTGTGGGATCTTCTCTGCCAGGGTTATGATGATCAACAGGTGAGGAACAGGTCAAGTAGGATGGGGTGCCTGTGACATACTCCAAGCCCTACCCATTCCCCCTTCTCTGTGACTAAAATTGGACCACCAAGGTGCTATTATTTTGGAATTATTTACCTTCTAAATATCTTAGCTATTTTAGAGAAATATGAATGCAAGTTTATTTTGATATAAATTTCTTAAAACATTTGTCTTCCCCTGGGGGCATTTTCACCAAAACTGACATTTACTAACTTGTATGTAACAATTCAAATGCACTTTATCATGCAAGAACACAGAAGTATATGAGGAAATATGAGCAAACTGGAAGAAAGAAGAACAATTTGCATTGTTTTTATTTATTGAATGTTATAAAAGCTTCCTTTGGATAAAGAGATACTGTACTTTAAATAAAGTGTTTAAAGTCCCTGTGTTACACAACACTATAGAGCTGAAATTATATACAGTATAGAATGGCTATACGTGGATCCTTGGTTTTTACCTTAAATTCTACATCTTAAGGCCAGAGGAGCTCCTTCAAACTGTGATATAATATAAAACACAGATAAACATTTTTATATAATCAAATAGAAATGTGTCTGAATGTCCCTAATAATACACAGATTAAGAACATACCAGAGTAAGGTAGATGGCGAATTAGGTAAGAGAATTATTAAATTTAAAATACTGTGAGCCTGAATGTTTTCCTTAAAAAGAATAGAAATTATACTGGTTAGAATAAAAACTACAGTGACAGTGTCTCTGATCTAGAAGAAAATCAATAAAAACACACAATTTTATAACATTAAATATGAAAGTGATTATATGAAATTTGTATTTAATGCACTTAAAATATTGCTTATAATCTTGTGACCTCATGATAGCCTGCCTTACCTGGGTGCACACACTCTTCTTATATCAGAAGTATGGGAATGGGTATCAGTAGATAGTCATTTTAGAGAAATGTCTTCAATACATTTATTAAGAAGCAATATAAACCTTGTTTTTGTTTCTTTGTTTTGTTTTGCAAATATGAAAGGCTGAGAAACATCAGACTTGGTAAATTCCAATTTCCCTGTAAGGTAAGAAAAGATGAAAGTGATTTTTTTCTCTCTCTTTCTTACAAGCTATAGCGTTCTATAGAAAGACCCAAATAGCTTTTTCATAGTTTAACAACTTTGTTGAACACTGATTGTAATTTTTTAAGCTGTACTCCATGAGATAATCGTATCTGCTTTCTGTCAGATCATTTGAAATTGAAAAACATGCTGAACGTTCTACCATAACCATAAAACTGGGTCCTTAAAAGTCTGTTAATATCTCAGTAATGCTTTTCACATCTCAGTGTGTGGCAGAAGTCCCCTTCTGTCCCTTCAAGGGATCTGGAAAGACTCATACTTATACATTTATTTAACTAATCATTATATATTAAATTATAATTGGGGGGTCACAAAAAAGCACTAGAGCACTAATTAACTAAGAATTTGGGAAGATATCAAAATGAGAGACAAAATATTCACAGCTTCTTAGTTTTGCCAATTTCTAAAAATTCACCTCTCTTTAGTTAGGCTTCGCTTGCTCTCAGTTTTGGCCTCCATTAGAGACAGAATTGTTTCTGTAAAAGGAATAACATGATGATGTTTCAAAGACACCTTTCTGCATTTAGTCAGTCAACCACTCAAAAAATTAATATGAAGAGAAAGGAAGAGGCGTCCTATTCCAGCTCAGGCATGACAGAGTCGGGAAAGCAAAGAGAAGTTCATCAGAAATGGCCTCATTCTTCTCAGGCTTTGCCATTGGGTTAGAGTGAAATTTTGAAGATGTCACTTTAGCATTGATGGTATTAGAAACTTAAAGGCGTCACATGAAATAGTCCATCATTTTACCTGTAATGATGCCTCTGTCTTGACTCCCTCATGTGTTTCTTACACGGCGTAGTGAGAACAGTTTATGGATTTCTTTCCCCTTTGGAGACTCTCCCTGAGGAAATGCCAAGCAATTTGTTGGTTATCCCTAAAGTATTGAGAGCACAACAAAATGTCTGGAGATTGTCCTTTAATTGTCACAGGCAATTTGTTTCCAGTGCCTTTTCTTTCTCTCCTTCCTTTTTCCTTCCTGTCTGTATTCTTTCCTCCCTTCCTCCTTTCTTCCCTGCCTTCCATTTTTCACTCTTGGTTAAACCAAGCTCCTTTTGTAGCCCTAAGGACACTCGATTAAAGCATTGTGCCTATCGGGCATGCCCGTCAGGAGCCAGCATCTCCACAGTGGTCTTCTCAAACGTATGACCTGTAGAAAGATGTAAACACGGCCTTGTTACATTACTTACACATTTTTAAGGAATTAAAATAACACATGATGCTGCTATGAGGTGTTGCCTCCTGGCTTTGTTGCCCATGTAACTGTTTTTACTCGTCCCTCAGAGACAGAAACTAGTCACTGTTACTTCTCATTTCATTTTGACTTTCTCTCATAGGTCTGTTCACCACTTCCATGTTGCTGCTTTTCCCCTTGACTGCACAGTGCACCATTAGTTGTTCCATTCTGTGCAGCCCCATTCCAGTACAGACCTAGTCCATCACCACAAGTGCCCTTGCCATGGAATTGCTCCCAAAGACAGCCTAAGAAAGCAAAGACCTTCATGTGCTTGCAGCCGTAGAAGCACTAATCTGAGATAACAGGTAGGCGACAGTGGGATGGGACTGTCCCAGCACTAAGAAGGCAATTATGATCGAAATGACAAAGTCCCCTTATGGACCAAAACTTTTTCTTGAGACTAACTTTCCGAAGAAAAAAAGTGCTGCCTGTCATTTCACATCTCCGGCCCCAGGCAGTCAGCCTCCCAATGCAAGCCAGACATCCTGCACCCTCAGCTGGCAGAAACCTGGGGGGACATTCCCGCTGGTTACAAGCTCTCAGGACACATAAAAAGGAGTCTGGGGCCAAATGACATCCTTCCAAGTCCAGTGACTCCCTTTCCTGGGCTCTCAGGTGTCTGCCTGTGACCCCCCAACACAGAAGTACATTCTTTACTCGGCGTTTGTGCCCCAACAAACTAACAGCCCTGGGTAACGGCTAACCTCACAGCTGCTCAGGCTGGCCTGTTTCAGCCCACCTTATGAGAGTCATAAACCCCACCGCCCTTCTCAGACCTTAAATGTCTTACCTCTCCTACAACCAATCAGAGCCTTGTGTGCAAGCTGATCAGGCACCTGTGACCCTCCCCTGTGAAAGACCCCGGGAGCTGGCCCTCGGTGCTCACACAGGCCCCTCTCATCTGTGTGGCTGCTGTCGTCTCCGACTGCTCCCTTCGTAAACTCCTTCACTCTTCTCCTCCTTCATCTTTGGTAGATTCTTTTACCTCCAGAGACACCGGCCCGCTGTGTTCCCCAACAAGGAGTGTTGCTGAACGCAAGTTCTTGTGCCCGACGCACAGTGAGGCCAAACCGGCCCAAACACTGGGGTCTGGAGCAGATCTGTTGCAGGGCCGAGCAAGGAGGACTGGTGGCTCATGCTCAGAAGATGTGAAACTCCCCGGCAGTTTGCAGGGAAGAGTTTTTATAGGTAAAACTGGAGGGAGAGCCACGGGGTGTGTGGCCCTTCTCTGATTGGTTGGTGGCGAGGTAACAGGTGTTCTAGGAACCTTGCGCTCAGCCTGAATTTGCCTTCCTCCACCTGGGTGGGGGCCTTAGTTCCTGCAGAGGAACACAAAGGTACATTACTATCTGCGTATGCCCCTTGAGGAGGAACCAGGACCCTGCTTATCTGTGCACTGTTGTTTCTTGGCTGCTTCTCCTTTGTGTCTGTTCC